GTGAAGAAAAGAGGATAAGAACGGAGAAGAAGAAAAAGGTGTGGTTGGGTGAAGAAAAAAAAAGATAAGGGAGAGAGAGAATGGAGAAAAAAAGATAAGGGGAGAGAGTGAATGAAGGGTAATTAAGTCTTTTTAGTATTAAAAACTTTCCAAAAAAGGAAATGGGAAGTTTATTTGTGGACGGACGAAAAAGGAAAGTAGGAAGTTTTTTTGTGGACGGAGGGAGTAATAATAATAATAATAATAATAACAATAATAATAATAATAATAATAATAACAACAACAACAACAACAACAACAACAACAATAATAATAATAATAATGATTACATTAAAATATATCATTTTTAGAGTAATTGGTTGATGAGTAGAAAGAATTTAAAGAAAATGAAAAAAGTTGAAAGAAACTGGAAGAAATTGGAAGGATTTGGAAGAAAGTGGAAGGAACTAGAAGAAACTGGAAAAAACTGGAAGAAACTAGAAAGAACTGAAAGAAACTGAAAGTTAAGAGTTCAAGCCCTAAAGAACATGCCATTAATCCAGATGTCATTGGCAAAATTGCAACAATACCCCAAGAAAATATTCTCTAGAAAAATAATTTCCTCTAAACAAAACAGACACACCTTTGTTTTGTTCTCCCTAAAATCAAGTCAATCAAATTAGTATGGAACAAAGGGATTTATACTATGTTTTTCTTAACTTATTCTCAATTCTTGATAGTTATTCTTAATGGAATCAGACCAGATCAGAAATAACTCTAAACATAACTACAATCAGATCAGTTCAAACCAAATCAAAACCTATTCCAATCAGATCAGAATCAACCCAAGTTAAGTTAAGAGAACATGGCATAACTCTAGTTTATATATAAAGGTCCACGTGGAGGTTCATGGACTCCATGGGACCCTTAGCAGATCCACTTCTGATATTGAGCAATTAAAATTGATGCTCTGGATCAAAATGCTAAAAAAACATAATGATCAACATTATGCACAACCAAACATAACATTTGTATTGAAAATTTCCAAGAAGGCAACCATAACGAGAAATTGTGGCTTAAAACAAAATCTACTTGAGAAGGAAAAAAACATCAGCAAAATCTGTAACAATACACCATGCCTCACTACAAAACAAAGGAAGAAGAAAGCAAAAAAAAAAAAAGTAGAGAACAAACGAAAATATTAAATATAATTTATCAACATTATGGTGGTAGTTCTTGTACAACAAGAAGGATCATGAATGCATCATGATCAGTGCAACCTTGTCAACTCTTCGACTCTCTTCATGAGTTCGTCCACGGGAACGTCCATTGCCTTTGATATCTCATCCATCCGAGCCCGACTAAGATCAAGGAACGATTCGATCAAATCCCCGTCCAAGAAGTTCTTCGAATCAACGGTTTTCTTGTCTGTATAAAACGACCTCCATTGCTCGTGGCTCAGCCCTCCCACACCCTTTATAACTTTCCTTAGATTTGACTGCAGCTTCTCCAAGAACGTGTATTGTTCGGATGGAAGTGAGGCAATGAGTCCAATAACACCGTTCACCGTGCCGAAGATGACCGTGGGTATCTGACCAACGTCCGAATCAGGGAGTCTCATGACCAGAGAACCATGTCGGAAGCGATTCACAAACTCGCCGAGGTGGAATTCACCCACCACTTCGAGACGGCTTCGCTCCTCATCGGTTGTGCCTTCGCTGTTTTTCCTGACCGTGAAGAGGTTATAGTTGTTCTCAGCGCCAAGGTATATATCATCATCAAGGATCTCAACAGCTGTCATCCAATTCGCATTGTAATCACGAGCCCGCTCCTCAATAGCACCCTCCTCATGCTATAAGAAGAAAAAGAGAGAGACCATCTTTAATCACATATTTTAGTTTAGTATGCTCCCTCCGTCCAGTCTAACGGTCACAATTGCTTTTTGCACAGATATAGATAGAACTATGGTATGTGATCAATACTCACTTTTACCCTCTAAAAAATGATTATCCTCATCCATGTTGTGTAGATGAGTCAACATGTCAAAACATGAATTGATGAAGAGGTTGGTTGAGTATAGAAAAGGAAAGTTGGCATAAAAGCAAGACTTATAAAGTGGAGCCGAGGTTGTAAAATCTAGAATTGCGTATGAGGTATGTTTGGGGAAAAAAAATACAAGACTTACCTTGTATATCAACAGAGAAATTGATTTCATCAGATCACCTACAACAATGAAATCTCCACGAGTTTGAACATAGAGGGCTAGTATATGGCCATGATGTCCGCACTCAGACTGCAATTCACGTGTACCATCATCGCGGAGCATCCACTTGTATAGCTGAATCTTTTGATTGATTGCAGCAAGCAATTTTCCGTTAAAGGCATTTAATGAGTATACAGCTCCTTTAGTTTCTTTCTCTGCAATTAGTTGGAGCTTCCCATCCTCAACAATAAAAACTAATATGCGGCCCTGCAGATGTTAAATTTAGAAGAGATTAAGGAGTCGAAGAAAATCCCATGCATCTGCAAATACATACTTACATTATACTCCCTATCACCTATGACCTATACTAAGGCATCGCCTAAAAGTCTGATTCAGACTGTCGAAGTCCAGCATCTTCTAAATAGCAGTTCAAACTCTTAACACATTAACAAATTATATGCAAACAAACACAGGTGTGTGTGTGTGAAGCAGATTTTCTCACCACCAATTCACCAAACATAGATTAATAGATGTGCAAGGGTCAAACCATTGGGATATTTAGAATTTAAAGCTATGTGGCCAGGCAGGCATATCATGCATTGACTAAGGAGCTAAAAGGGTCACTTTGGCAACATTTCAGCTTCAGGGGAATAATAGACAAAATCAAAATGACACATTAAATCACCCTCCTTTCATACTTTCTATGAAGCTTTGGGCACTAAATGCATCTATCCATCAAAGAATATAGATGAAACCTCGTAACATGGGTAAGACGTTGCGTACATCTTGCCCCCCCCCCCCCA